TGTGTGTGTGTGTGTGTGTGTGTGTGTGTGTGAGAGAGACTGTGTGAGCCGACGCCAGTGGACCAAGCGGGTCACTTCTGACAAGTGAGTGTTTCCCTGTCACATTTATGCGCTGATGCTTGTGTTAATTGTTAGATGCAAACCGATTGCTTTTCTTTGTTGTTGGTCTTTGGGTAGTCGATTCCTGTTTTGGCTCCTGACTGGTTCTTCTTTTTTTGCATGATCAGTTTGATCTGATCTGTGAACAGTGATTCTGGGCTGCATGGTGGTGTATGGGCTGTGTCTCAAAACCTAGTATTCTGCCAGTCTACACAGCATTTTTGGGCATCTTTAGCGTCCAAAACGAATGCAATATTTTGGGGCGACTATGATGCCCAAAATGCTGTCTAGGTAAACAGTATACTAGGTTTTAAGAGACAGCCATGGTAGACAGGAATAGGTGAGATCAATAATTGGTTAATATATTGCAAGGACGTTAATTGATTTTCCCCCGTGTTTTTATGTGGTACTACCGAACTGGAAGTAAAGAAAACAAAACCTGGGTTGGCATGCATGCACACGTACACGTGTGTGTGTGTCCACTGTCCTGCGGGCAGACAATGCGCCCTCTGTCGTGGCGCAGCTGTGTGTGTCCTTCTGCCACTGTGCTTTCATATGCAGTATTTTCGCTAGCGCGCATTCAATGTATGGCGGTGTGTTTGAATTGCAGACATGTTTACGTCTAGAGGGAGCTGTGCGTGATTTAGCGATGTCTGATTCGTAAGTGAATCATTCATTTGAGTCGGATCTTTTCAGTTAATCGGTTGAACTGGATCACAGAACAGCACCGATCGATTCGTTCAAGAATCGGTCAGAGCGGCTTTTCGAATCGACTCACTGACTCGGTGAACTGAGAATGGCGAAATTGTACTTCTCTAACGTTACTAATAGTAGGCGAAAACAGTGAAAAGAGTAGCATGTCTGAATTCATAGTATTCATAAAACTTCTGGCGAGAGCCTAAAGTGCATACTTTACTATCCCATGGGGCCAGGTAGAGGATTTGTGGATGACAGTGAAGAGATTCAACTGATGCTGGTAGGTCACATGATAATGACGGAATGGCCAATGTTGTAATACGGATTAAATTCATACTGCACACATTCTTACAATATAGAACATACCTTTTTAATGGTCGCAAAATAATTGAGAGTATGCTAGGCTTAAAGGTGCCATAGAATGCATTGATAGAAGGTACATAGAAGGTATGTGGCTTAGGTAAGGGCAAAAAATCTCCAGAAACGGTTTTACATGTCCATTTTAAACCCTAGGATTTGTCCCTATAATGAAATGCTCTGTTTTTACCTTATTTGGAAGGGTCATGAATAATTTTATTTTTTATTTATTTATGCATTTAGCAGACGCTTTTATCCAAAGCGACTTACAGTGCATTCAAGCTATACATTTTTTACCAGTATGTGTGTTCCCTGGGAATCAAACCCACGACCTTTTGTCACAGGAGCACTATAATAATAATAATAATAATAATAATAATAATGTTGAGCTCTGCTCTGATTGGCTGTTTCACAGTGCGGCTCATTTCAGTAGCTCACACAGCAGGAAGGAAACACAGGGAAAATATATATTTCAATACTGTCTCTCGCAGTTATATCGTTGGGTAATTATACTGTATATAAAATGCGGGCATCAGAGAGACGCTATTAATATGCGGGGCATTGAAACTTTGATGCTTTCGAATGCACGATGCTTTTTACTTTCACTTTCGAGATTTGCGATCGCACGTGCTCTGTGTAAACCAGTGGCGGCTCGTCAGGGGAGGCAGGGGAGGCACAGCTTCCCCATAATTTTGAGGTGAAAATGGGAGGAGGACGATTTAATGTTAATAAAATTCACAATTCATTTCAGTTAATGTCTCAGAATGTGTATTTTGCCGAATCTGCTGATGTAATTGCAACCGCTAATGATAGAGAAGGGGAAGGGGAGGCCGGGTGAGCGCTGAGCTCTCGTGCCTCCATTGGTAAAAAAAAAGTAGCCAATCACCATCGAGTGTTCACTTTCAGCGCTGAGGAGTGTTGAGAAAAGAACCCTCGTAAGGGTTCTGATATCAACCAATCATCACAGAGACGTAAATTACGTGATATTAGTTTGAACGTCTGCCGCTGCGCTGATAATGTACCAAGTACTTATGAGTAGCGATATTGAATATTTGACTGCCAACAGATTTACCAAGCTGTCATTCAAACGGTGTATATATACAAATTTAGGGAAAACAGCCTAAGCTGGAGCTGCAGCAGTCGGCTTAATTAAATGGTGCAACAGGCAGCTCTCTTTTAACACAGACTTTTAAGAAGGGATGGATGTTTGCTTCAAGTGATAGGCCAGGTAAGTGAAATTATATTATCTTGCTGTATGTGTACGTTTTCTGACTAAAAGCAACCAAAAAGCCATTTTAAAGTGGTTAAGCAAATAATA